CAACTAAGTTTAAATCTTCTTTCCATGTTACCATATGTGCTGCTCCAGTGCATCTTTGCAGAAGTTGGCATTCCAGATTTTGCATGAGGCGATCCGTCATAGCTTTCCAAATGTTCTGTTTTTATATTCTTGCTAGGAGCCCAGGAAATGTCTTTAGACTGTCTCCTTGCAATATGGCATTTTCATTGCCTCAGTTGTTCTTCGTTGTCATTATTACCTGTCTCAACTTCCTGCACAATTTTTTTTAATTGAAGCATAATTGACATACAATGTCATAGTAGTTTTCAGGTGTACAACATATTGATTCAGTAATTCTATACATTACCCAGTGCTTACCACAGTAAGGATAGTCACCACCTAACATCATTACTTCACTGAAGTATATGTAAAAGTGTTCTCTGCATTTCTTCAGTGATGATAGGGTCATGTGGTTGGAGGAGTTGATGTTGATCTTACGCTTTTAAAACAGAGTCATTGCAGTAGAAGGGATATTCTACCTACTGAGCACTGCTACATGGTAGATGTAGGGAACTTCTAGAATATTTGCACATTTCCACACGTCTCAGTAGAAAAGTGCCAGACTTAGACATGTACTACCTGGGTTCTTTTTAAGCCTGTTCCTTTTGTTTTATTTCATTTTTTTTCTTACCAACTTAGAAGTGTGGAAAAACCTTTCCCCCCCCCTTTACTCCCCAGATTGTTAATCCACCCAAAGACTTGAAGAAACCGCGTGGAAAGAAATGCTTCTTTGTGAAGTTTTTTGGAACAGAAGATCAGTGAGTAGTGCTCATCAAGAGTTTCACTTTCCCTTTGGGCGTTGCTCTGGATCTGAGCTGCTTGTGAGAATATTCGAAGGACCCTAGTTCATTTTTACTGTAGTCTGTCAGGCATATTGTTCTGGCTTTGTATACCTAAATAAAAGGTGCTATTCTTAGCTTATAGAAATTGTCCTGGGGCCAATAACAATTTCAGTCAAGTGAGAAATAGGACTCACTATTTTCTAAAGATGATAATCACAATAAGATTATTTCTCATCTCTTTATCGAATCCCATAGGTAGTTCTTTTTATTAGGGCCATGTTTGGTTCTCTTTTAATGGCTGGTTATCATTGTGGTTCATGTATGAGGTTTACAGTGAAATCAGGACCATTCATTTGAGATTCTGTGATAGGCCATATAGGTCACAGTGAGGAGGAGAATGTGTATTTACCTGAATTTCCAGTGATTTGTTCAGCTTTCTGGTTATTACATGGATTTGATTACCTGGGTGTAGCTAGATGGTTTAAGTAGTTGCATTTTCTACTTAGGATTTTTAGAGAAAAATGTAGTTTGGGGTTTGAAAAATGTGAGTTTTCTGAGAAATCTAATACCAATGGTTAAAATATATGTTCTTAGTGATATATGATATTCTATAGCAAAATCTCTTATAAACAGTGTTCTTCACTCATTCAGGAGTTTATATGCCAGAGTGCTCAGCCTGGGTTAGAGGGGTTTTTTGTTTGTTTGTTTTGTTTTTTAAAGACTTTATTATTTATTTGACAAAGAGAAAGAGACCGAGTATGCACGGGCGAGCACAAGCAGGGGGAGAGGCAGAGGGAGAGGGAGAAGCAGGCTCCCCACTGAGCAGGGAGCCTGATATGGGGCTCCATCCCTGAACCCTGGGATCATGACCTGAGCTGAAGGAGATGTGTAATGGACTGAGCCACTCAGGCGCCCCCTGGGTTAGAGTTTGGCATGTTTATCTTCACCATGCAGGTATACCAATATACCAGTTCTCTGTCACAAAACAACTTAGCAGCCTTTTGATGACAATATTCAAGGGAGTCACTGGCTTCTGGTATATAACACAAGTGCTAATTGTACAGCCACACTTCGAATGTTGACACCAAAAGGAACTTCCAGAGAAAAGCAAATGTTGTGGGCCTTGCCTTTCAGGAATTCAGGTGACAAGACATAACCAGTTCAGATGGGAATAAGTGCAGAGTGAGTGATACAGGTGACTATTAAAGCGTTCTAGAACACGGAGAGATCAGTGGAGAACACTCAGGTCATAGAAGGGTGATGGAAGGGGTGCCTGGGTGGCTCAGTCGTTAAGCTCAGGTCATGATCCCGGGGTCCTGGGATCGAGCCCCGCATCGGGCTCCCTTCTCAGCGGGAGCCTGCTTCTCCCTCTACCACTCCCTCTCCTGTGTTTCTGCTCTCGCTGTGCCTCTCTCTGTCAAATAATAAATCTTTTGTGGGGGGGCCTGGGTGGCTCAGTCGTTAAGCGTCTGCCTTCGGCTCAGGTCATGATCCTAGCGTCCTGGGATCGAGCTCCACATCAAAAAAAAAATAAGAAGAAGGGTGATGGAAGAGATGGAGTTAGAATCTGCTTCTGGAGGACAGATAGAATTTGAATAGGCAGGAAGAAGAAGGGCAGTGCAGGCAGTGGGAATACTGTGAGCAACTGGGTGTTAAGTTGGATGCGTGGGCAGAGAAAGGCTCCCCACCTGGGGTAAAGAACTGTGCTTGAGAATAACAGGCAATATGGTTGACCCAATTTGGTTAGCTAAACGAAGATGTACAAGTCTAAAACAAAAGTGGAAACTCTTGGAAAGTAGAGGCTTGATCAGATTACAGGAGGCCTGAAAGCCATTGTGTTCTTATAATTTAAGCAAATGCTGGAAGGTCAGAAGAGTAAACGGATGCCTACTACAGGTGAGACAGGAAATTGGAGTTGAGTGCATTTCAGCACTTAACCGGGCACACAAGTGAAGCCAATGAAAGGGATGCACTTACTGAACACAAAAATAACCTAATGGTGTTAGTAGTAGTAGTGGTGGTGGTGATGTGATTTCTAACTAAAATTTTTTGAGGGGATTCATAAGCAAGTGGATTTTGGGCAACTGTTAGATATAATATCTTTAAGCTTATAAAACTCCCTTGGTAGAATTCCACATAAAAACTTATTGAAAAACAAGTTGTCACAGGACCAACACATTATCTTTTTGTGGCTAGGCGGTTGACAATGAAAGGAAACAGGGTAAGGATCTCCAAGCACTTGTCTGAAGGGAGAAGGGTTCTTAGTGATCAGTGATCAGACATTATTTACTATCTTTAAATTATCTGAAGGTGAAGTGTCCAGGGAATTACTTTGAGGAAAGAGCTCTGGATTTGATGCTGGCCTGCTGTGCATTCAGATGCCATCGCACCTGCCCTACAATTTGGGCAAGCTGTTTTCACCTTTCTAAGCCTTTGTGTCCTTGCCCATATGTGGGATGATACTCCCTACCTCGATGCAGGAGAAGTAGTGTCACTTGTTCCATAGGGTGGTGTGGTATACAGCAGGGATTCAGTAAACTTCAGGTGGCCATATAGATATATTACAAGGGAGAGAATAAGCTGGTAAGAAGCAGGTGGCTTAAAAAAAAATAAGGGAAACGAGAGAAAGGATTTGTGTTTGGAAAAGGAAGGCATTTGTGTTGGAAATTCCTAAGGACTTCAGCCAGGTCTGTTTTTTTATTTTGTTTTGCTTTTTTGTTTTTTGGGTTTTTTTTTTTAATTTTTTTATTTATTCATTTGAGACACAGAGATAGAGAGCATGAGCAGTGGGAGAGGCAGTGGGAGAGGGAGAAGCAGACTCCCCGCTGAGTCAGGAGCCCGATGTGGGGCTCGATGCCAGGACCCTGGGATCATGACCTGAGCTGAAGGCAGATGCTTAACCATCTGAGCCACCCAGCCGCCCCTTAAAGATTTTATTTATTTATTCATGAGAGACAGGGAGAGGCAGAGGGAGAAGCAGGCTCCCAAGGAACAGGGAGCCCGATGCGGGACCTGATCCCAGGACTCCGGGATCATGACCTGAGCTGAAGGCAGACACTTAACCATCTGAGCCACCCAGGCACCCTTGCTTTGCTTTTTTGTTTTTTAAGATTTTATTTATTTGAGAGAGAGACAGCACAAGCAGGGAGGAGAGGGAGAAGCAGGCTTCCCGCTGAGTGGGGAGCCAAACACGGGGCTTGTCCCAGGACTCTGGGATCATGACCTGAGTCTAAGGCAGACGCTTAACTGACTGAGCCACCCAGGGGCCCCCAGGTCTCTTCTTTGGACCAAAAAGGCTTCAAACACAAAACAGTAAATTGTTCCACCCTTTTTTTTTTCTTTCCAATTGTTCTATCTTTATGGAAAAACTATGCTGTGCCTTGCCAGGAGTGCTGTGTGCAGTCGAGTCCATGCTCCCAAAGGGATCTGATGGAACTAATTAAGATCAGAAAAGAGGACCAAGTCAGATCAAAGAGTAGGATTCTTTAACGTGAAAAAGTCAGAATTGTTGAAATGATGAATGACCGTAAGAAGGTAAACACTGACCTGTTCATAAATCATCAGACATTTCCGATAGCAGCGCTGTGAGTAGAACAAATGCTGTGGTGACCAAGTTTAGGGCATGCATAAGAAGTACTGTAGGAAACAGACTTTTGAGAAGTGTTTTAGGTGGGAAGTACAAGTGGATTTTTAGAGTGAGTACTGCTTTGTGAAGGGCAAGGCTATAGGTGGTTCCAGAAGAAACTGGGCTCTACCTCACCTTTGATGCTTGAAGTCAGGGAGAGGGGCATATGCTCCTCGCACATGTTGGTTACGGGGCTCTGACTTTGGTGGATAGGGGCTCACCGCATGGGGCTGCTCCTGAATTTCTGAGCAATAGAGGATTCAGTCAGAGATGTTCTTTTTCAAAACTGTACGCTATGTATGGGGAAAAATATTTATAAATAAGATTTCTTTAATATTAACAGGGATCTTTATTAAAAGAGTGAAAAGGGTAGCTCCTTAAGATAAAGATTTCAGCGGCTCACTCAGTTAAGCCCAGGTCATGATCCGAGCAGGGAGCCTGTTTCTCCCTTTCCCCGACTTGTACTGTCTCTCTCTAATAAATAAATAAAATCTTAAAAAAAAAAAAGGAAGATAAAGATTTCAATCTTCTAGAAAACTAGTTTTTCTCTCTCCCTTCCTCTGTCAAAACATCTGACAAATTGTGTTGATGTCCTGTTAGGAAGAGAGAGGACCAGACCTTCGTAACTGATGTCCTATTAGGAAGAGAGAGGACCAGACCTTCCTAACCAGCCGCTCCTGAAAGGGGAAGGACTTAGTAAGATGGCTGGATTCAGCTGTCTGAGCCTGGATGGCGAGTATGGGGGTTACTTATGGTTGTTTTCTATTTCATGGAGATACAAAGGAGAAAATAACTTTAGCATAACTTTGACAACTCTGCCAGGTGACCCCACCCACAGATGAAGTCTCAGGCACATGAGAGCCCACCTTGGGCAGGGAGTTGCCATCAGAATAGAAACTGAACTCGGGGTTTGAAATTTTCATCAGGGGCCATGGATGGCAGAAAGGAGGGAGCTCATTTAGTCTGTGGGTGTTCAAAAACGCCCAGAGATAAACAGTTCAAGAGAAGACTACTGGCAAAAGAAGATAGATCCCAAATGACCTTCTGAGAGTTTCTGTAGCAGTCTTCATACCTGATCCTACAAGAGCCGTTTTGGGAAATGGATAGGATATTTGTTCTGGTTCTCACTTTTTAACAGATTTGTACGCTGAGAGGGAGGAGATTTGTGGAGTTCAGTGATAGAATGTCCAGGATCCCAACCTGAGATACTTTTTTCATCAAGGCAAATATAAGGTATGAAGTGAGTGAGTACTAAAGTAACTTTTGGAGAAGAACCTGTGGCTTGTATTTACAAGCAGATTGGAGCCATCCGAGCATCCCTCTTTCTTTTCGCCTGGCACCTGATTGCCCTGCTTTCCCTACATCCAACACTGTGCAGTAGCTGGAGAATGGAGCCAAATGGATGGTGAGCATGCGGCTATTTGGACTGAGCCAGCAGTGTCCCTCTGCCAGGGCTGGAGAATACCTGTCCTAGAGAGCACTGAGTAGATTTTCCTCTCCCAGCACCAGCATCCATCCTACAGGTGACTCCCCTCATGGCTGAGACAGTGGACTCCACGAGCAGGTGTGTCATGCACCAGAATTAAAGAATCTGGCACAAAAGAAGCAGCTGACCATATTGGCATAGACAACACAACTTGAAAGCCTTCTCCAGCATTTGGGAGTATTTTCAAGTTTTGAAAAGAGAATCTTCTAAATCTATTTTATCTGCAAGTCTTTGTTGATGTCTGTATGATAATCATTGCTTGAGATTAACTGACAAACTCTTATTTTCTTTGTGGCTTTTTTTTGTTTTGTTTTTTGATTTGTGGGTTTTGGGGTGTCTTGATTTCTGAACAGCTTAGACTTGGAGCTGTAACAACTCCGTAATCTTCAGCCTCTTTCAGTGGTTTTAAAGCAGGGCAAGCATACAAATCATTTGCTCAGTACTACTCACCGAATCTAGATGGAAAAGCAACGCATGTCTTCTGTCCCCGTCTTTGTTCTCACCTTTGGACTGTGCTGACACGTGTGTGTTCTCCCTCCCACCCCCACTCCCACCTAGGTCATTGTGTCATGCAAAGTCTGAGACACATATGTGAGAGTTTTGGAGATTATTCATAGACCCACATGTTTAATATGATGTGTACATGGTATGATTTAACCTAAGGGAAAAGCAGGTCAGAATTATGGAAGTTTTTGAAAATGTGAGGTGTTTAATTTCGTTTTGAGTGGAGTGTGTAATCTGAGAGTGGTTTATAGTGGAAAGTTTATATTCGCAAGTGAAAAGAATTTACAGGTGTATCAGAATACCATAAGTTTGCTGCTCCTGGCTGTGTTACAGGTGCAGTTACACCGGCAACCAGGCAGTAGCTACTCACCTGAGGAAGTCATAGAGGCACCTTCTGGGTAGAGCAGCCCATGTTCTACAGCAGAGACCTTTATTGTTGATTTGTTGTTTCTTAAAGATAATACATGTTTATGGCACCCCCCCCAAATTAAGCTATGAACTGTGAAACAGTTCCATTCATTCCTGTCCCTCAGCCACCCAGTTACCAGCCCTTGGGCATCCAGTTATACTAGTTTCTTACGGCATGTCCCTCCAAAGACACTGTGTGCAGAATCAAGAAATTACATATTCCTTTTTCCTTGTTTTTACACAAGTGATAGTGTAGTTCACACACTGTTCTGCATATTGCTTTCTTCCACTTAGCCAGATATCTCAAGGGACCTTCCATTTTGTCCTTTGTAATGACGTCACTGATTGCCACTACAAACAATGGGGTTTACTTCCTTGTACGTAAAAGCAAAGGCCCATACTTTACATACCACTTGACTAAGCTTGATTTTTGACTCCCAGCCCAACAGTAAATTAGGTAGAAAAGGTCCAGCTCCTTCCGGGCATCAGGAGGATGATAGGAAGGAAATCATAAGTCGCAGCTCATATCACAGAAAGAAACAGAAGTCACCTAAAAAAAATAACGGGGGCACGCACCTGGGTGGCTCAGTCGGTTAAACGTCCCGACTCTTGATCGCAGCTCAAGTCTCAATCTCAGAGTCATGATAAAACAAACAAAAATGTACAGGCAACAGCAACAACCAGAAAAGTCCACCAAAGCCTTAGAACATTTAACCCAGAGGCCATTATTCCAGCCCCTCTGAATATGCTTGGAAGGCATCATTTACTCAGTGATTATTTATTGAGCACCAGTTGCATACCAGGCCCAGCTGATGGGCCTCAGTGAGAATGGTACATTATTGAAGCCCTGGATGAAAAGCATACTCTTTAAGGAGACAGGGTTTTTTTGCAATATAGCCTTTAGAGAAAAAACTATTCAGAAGGCTAAATTGATTTCAATTTGGCTCACTTTCAAGAGGTAATCCTCCTAGGGCTCTGGTGGGCTGGCTTTTTATTTACAGTTTTTCTGATTGGGGCACAGTGCTTCAACAATAGACTGATTTCTTAACTAGATTAATATTTCTTGGATTTATCCTCTTGATATTTATACTGTCCATTCTTTTAGCAAACCATTTTCACTTTTCAAAAATGGCCAAAGAGGAAAATTTCATTTTAGGATGCAAATGCCAGAATGGAATTTTGACTGTACCATTCTTCTGGCAGAAATCAGTAATCCACTTAAAGTGCTTCAGTGGAGAAATGGGCATGGGTTGTTGGTCCTTCCTCCATGGATGTCCTTACCTCTCCACTTCCTCTGGTTCATGTGGGGAGAGGGAGGCAGGGATTAGGATGCCTAGAGTGTATTGTCCCATCTCAGGGAGCTCCATAAAACCACCCCATTCATCTTACACCAAAACTTGTGTGGATCTTAGCTTCTAACCTGAAGCTCAGAGAAGGAAGAGGCATGTCGAGGGCACGTGGCCCTTTAAGCCTTATCGCTGGTATTTGTGTCATCTCAGTAGGACAGCTTAACCTGCTTTTCAGGGCATGTCTGGCTTTGCATCTGCTCTGGTGGTCTGCCCTTAGAAACACTAAATGGGAGGAGAAGCAGGAGGGTCTGTTCAGTGGTGTACCTGCCAGGCAATGTAAGGTCAAAATATGATTCCATTTTTCCTCCCCAGGAACAGACCAGTGCATTCTATCATGGCAAGTTTCAGACTTTAAGATGAGTTAGTCACTGAAAGGTACCTGCTTACCTCACCTGGTTGGAACTTTATGCAGTGAGACAGCATCTGAGTCCTTGTTCATCGTTCCGTTCTCTGTGGCTTTGTTTAGCCATAGATAACATGCTTAGTCCTGGTTTGCTATCACATTTATAGGCTAATAGTCCTACGGCTATTGTGTTTGTACAGATCCATGGGTCACAGTTATTAGCATAACACTTAAAGGGTAGGTGGCTGTTGGTGGGTTGACTAAACTATTTTTATGTAGAGATTAGCAATTTTTTTTTTTAAATGGGCTTCGTTCCCAGTGTGGAGCCCAGTGCAGGGCTTAAACTCATGATCTTGAAATCAAGACCTGAGTTGAGATCAAGAGTTGGACGCTTAACTGACTAAGTCACCCAGACGCCCCACATTTTTATTATTATTCGTGAATATTCTCCGGCTTTCTCTAAAGGAGAGGACCCTAAGTGTGATAGCTTAGTTTCTCTATCCTTAACCTGACCCCTTTTTTCAGAACGTTATGCTATGAAACCTGTGAGTATTACACAGTAAAAATGTATATAAGTTAACTGTTACCTTGCCAAGCCTATAAAATCCTCTCCTTTGTACTGGGACGCTGAATGTCATTTAGAAAAACCACAGGAAGCCAGCTGGGGCAGATTTGTTCAGGTCAATATGTAGGCCAGATATTCCAGAAGTGACAACTGATGGATTTTTTACTTGCGTGTGTTACACATTAATGGTAGGAATTAAAAAATAAACATCATAAGGGTATGTTGTACCTTTAATCACAAGCAGAATCTTGTTTCTAAAGACCTCCTGTTACGGGGCGCCTGGGTGGCTCAGTTGGTTAAGCGACTGCCTTCAGCTCAGATCATGATTCTGGAGTCCTGGAATCGAGTCCCGCATCGGGCTCCCTGCTCAGCAGGGAGTCTGCTTCTCCCTCTGACCCTCCCCCATCTTGTGCTCTCTCTTTCTCATTCTCTCTCTCTCAAATAAATAAATAAAAATATTTAAAAAAAAAAAAAGACCTCCTGTTACGACTGCTGCCCTAATTCCAAATCATGTGTCACATGTTTTGTGTGGTTTAGTAGCCACAGACAGGATCATTTATGACCAAATATAATGTATCCTGTAAGAGGAGCAGATTTCAGATGCTGCATTTCTTGAGCCATGGGAGCATCCCTGATTCTCAGTTGATGACAGATTGTCATTCTGGTTTGGGTGTTGACTGGGCAGTGATGTTACTGTGGTCGATTATGCTTCCTGATGCCCTCGCTCCATGACGGGCCCCTGTGATGAGAATGGAAGAACATTGCCAGGCTTCCCCTGCCCTACACAAGTGGCAGGCGATGTGTGGCTTAGTGTAGAAGGCTGGTGAACGAGAACAGACAAATAGCCTGCAACTTGTGGAAGATATTCTGGTTTTGGTAGTGGTGGTGGTTGTGCTTGACTTGTTTCGGGAAGACATACTTTTTATAACACCCCAAGAGTTTGGGGTGGGTGGTAACATGTTTTGAAAAAATAGCAGGCCTGGTTCAAAGTCCAGTTAAACCAAACGGATATTTGCATTCTGTTGTGATGAGGTATTTGATAATTTCTGGCATGGGCAGTGTGGATCATACCCTTTCTGTGTGTGTTTTCTGCTAGTGCCTGGATCAAAGTGGAACAGCTAAAGCCATACCATGCACACAAGGAGGAAATGATCAAGATCAACAAGGGAAAACGATTCCAGCAGGCTGTGGATGCTGTCGAAGAGTTCCTCCGGAGAGCCAAAGGGAAAGACCAGGTGAGAGACTGATTCTTGCTTTATTCCAGCATCTGACTGGTTATTTTGTCATAGTAACTAACAGATTAAACATGGCCCAAACCTAAACTCTGTTTTTATGCCATGCCAGTGGCGAGAACACTACTTCAGTTCTAGGGTATCCGCGTTTGGCTTATCAGCTTGAAACTCCATGCATGTGGCAGACTTTTCTGAAATAGATTGCTGTTCTTAGGAAAGTCACTTGGACTCAGGAGAAGTATCTCAGCTTTTGAATACAACACAGGCATTTCTCCCTTTGACATCCTAGAGATTAGGAGTGTTCTTGGGTATATCCACTGCCTGGGTGTAAATCCCACTTCTTAGCTTAGGGTACGGGCAAGTGATTTGACTTTATCTGCTTCCCCAAGTATCAGTGGAAGCAATAGCAGAACCTATTTCATAGGGTTGTTGTGTGGATAGCACATGTAAAGCGCTTCTCCTAGGGTGTCTGGCTTGTGTAAATGGCGGTGGCGGCGGCAGTGGCTGCTGTGGTGGCTATCATTGTTATTATTAAACTTTCAGACATCGTCCCACAATTCTGCTGATGACAAGAATCGGCGTAATTCCAGTGAGGAGAGAAGTAGGCCAAACTCAGGTGATGAGAAGCGGAAGCTTAGCCTGTCTGAAGGGAAGGTGAAGAAGAACATGGGAGAAGGAAAGAAGAGGGTGTCTTCAGGCTCTTCAGAGAGAGGCTCCAAGTCCCCTCTGAAAAGAGCCCAAGAGCAGAGTCCCCGGAAACGGGGTCGGCCCCCAAAGGATGAGAAGGTTTGTTTTACCTCTGCAGCTTCCGGGATTAGTGACTTCCTTCTGTCTGTGAAAGAGTTGAGCTCTACAGTGTGCCTCAGCTCACTGAGTGGACATAGAAACCTGTGCTAAGCACTGCCCTAAAGAATCCTGCAGACCAGGGGAGGGACTCAGCCTGGGTGCACAGGTATGAAATAGGAACACAAGGCAGCAAAGGATCTCGCATTCAACTAAATGGTCGAGGCGGGAGAACAGTCCGCCTGAGCCAGCATGCAAGGGCTGGCACTGGTGGAAGGGGCTTAAGAAAGGGGAAGGCATTCCAGAGACAGAGGGCCCAGCCTATGTAGGGCTTGATGTTGGCGTGGATATTCTTTTTATAGGTAGGGGATAGGGAGGAGAGCAGAGAGCTAAAAGTGGGTTGTCACTGGATTGTGGAGGGCCTTGAGGTCTACTGAAGCAGTATTTACTGTCATGGAGTCCATAGGGGGCCACAAACATGTTGGGAGCTGGGTGTCAGGGTGGTGGTGTGCTCCAAGCTGCATGTTAGCAATGGTGGAGGGCAGAGAAGAAAGGCTAAAACTGGTCAGAAAGCTAAAGCCAGGTTTGCATTTCTATAAGGAGCTATATTGATAGCAAATACTGAAAGGAACTGCCTGAGAGGCACTTCAGAGGAAGAGCTCATAAGATTTAGCAACAGGTTACAGAGGAAAGGGGGAGGGAGATGATTTCACGTTTTTGTTTGGAAAATGGTAATAACTTCCTCAAGAGCAAGAGTCAGGAGTAGGGTTGGCGAATGGAGCAAGAGGACTAGATCTGTTTTGAGTGTGATGAATTTGAGGTGATGCCAAGACTATTAGGGAGCCTTGAACCAATGTCAGGATGGAATGTAGATGTGGGAGGCAAATATGTAGAAGTATATTGGAGAATACATACAAAGCATATCTGAGGTCCGGTGGGATTGGTCTTCAGAGAAAGTAAGGAGGGAGCAGAGTGAAGGGTAGGATTCTGCCTTGCAGGGAAAATACCCGTAGGTCAGAGCTGGAAGGATTCAGAGGAGCCATCACAGTGAAATAAAGTGGAAATAATGTACCTTTCACCTTCCTGAAAAGATTTGGGTCAAGTCTCAAAAGCCAAGGGAAGAGAATTCGAGATGGAGGGGGTAGTCTGTGAAAATGGGAGGACTGTTAGAGCACAATCAAGGGCAAAGGAGCCAGATGGCTGGCAGAAACAGCTGGGTGATAAGGCCTTGACAAAACACTAGACTGCATCAGATCACGGCCTGCAAATTCAGACACCAGCGAGACCAGACAGGTCATGGCAGCAAGGGGAGGCTGGCTGAGGGTCTGCAGCCCTGACCTACCTCCACACTGAGAGCACTAGGGGTGGCAGCAGCTGGTGCTCTGGGGAGGTCATTGCTCTGTCCATGGGGTCCCAGCCAAGTTTGCCAGGTCATCTGGTTTTTCCTCTAGAGAAGCTGGAAATACTGATTTTTATGTGTAACATTCCAATTTTAAGTGTTACACACTAATTCAAAATTTTAAAATACTTTTAGGTCCAAGGAACATCTCTGGGCCAGATTGAGCCTGTGGGCTGCCACTCTGACCACTATGTTAGAGAAAGTCCTCACCATCAGACAAAGCCGAGACTGAGAGTAGACAAAGTGACTAGCGGTCAGGACAGCCCTGGCTGACAGTGAGCACAGGGAACTGCCAGCCAGAGGTGGAGAAGGTGGAGAAAACAGCTAGCCGTGGTGCAGAAAGAACTTTTCAGGGGGTGTGTTCTAATTTGATCCAATTGAATTGATTTCCTGGGGATCCAGAGGCATCTGAGCTGTCAGGTTTTATACTGTTCTCCAAATTCCTATTTTCTGCTTTCTAAAGCCGTGGATCTCACCAACTCCGTGCTGGCCCTGCAGAGAAACGACATCTTTTTGGAAAAAGAGAAGTGTGCAGGAGAGGTGAGGAGGAGGTCTGAGTCGGAACTGTGACTCCATAACTTGCTGCAGCTGTGTGGCCTTGGCCAACTTCCTTTGCCTTGGTTTCCTCGTCTGATCATTGGGAATAATAGTGATACCTGTCTTTCAGGTTTGTCGTGAGAATTAAACAAGTAACAAGAGCGAAGCATCAAGAACGGTGTGCCGTGCACCACGCATTTGATGAATGGCTTTATGTTTGTCAGTGTCTGGCAGAAGCCTGTTCTGCAGTGAGAGCGTAGTGGTTTTAGTGTCACCCGAGGCCGCCACCGGGCATTACTGCAGGGACTCTTCTCACAGGCTCCCAGGGAAAAGCAGTTTGCCCCATTGGAGTCAGGTCCCCAGCCAAGAGGTCTGCTTGCTCTTTACCCTTAGTGCAGTGCTTCCTACAGTCTCCTTGCTTGGCCGGCCTCTAGTGAAGGATTTGTCAGCTGGAGAGGAAGGAGTGTGGCTAGTGGTGCAGGGCAGACACAGCCCTTTCAGTTCAGACAGTTGGTTTTAATTAAGCATCTTCAGAGATGTAGGGAATCTGGGCTTGGAATTTTGGTGCATCTTCTGATCTAATAGGTCCTGCGGTCTAAAAAGAGTGTGTGTTGCTACAGTAATGGCTTCTTTCTGAAATAGCAGTAGCCTAGGCTGATAGCTGGGCAAAGTCTCGGATGATAGCCGTTAGGAGCCATAATCCCCTGTCCTGTGAGGATTAGTGGAAAAGGCTGACCTTTTGACACAGAGGCGTCAGTCACGTGCATACAGGGAAAGCCTGGGTTCGTGCCTTGGCTGTGGTGTGAGAGGTGTGCCCTCATCCTCTCTCAGGGGCTCTCATTTCCAAGTCCTGGGCTGAGAAGAACTGCAACTCTGGGCACACAGCACCCTGACAGCACAGAGCCCTCAGGGCTGTGGCTCTCCTCAAATCCCCAAGTGATTCAGGGACTGCTGACTGGGGAGTCGGGGCCTTCCGCTGGTGCCAGATGTAGAGCCAGTGTCTCCACCCCACTCTCCTGTTCTGAGACCTTAAGCAGGTCACTAGAGCTGTGCTGCCCCTAGCCACAGGGGCAGATACAGAACATGTCCATCACGGCAGGACGTTCTTAGGACAGTTCTACACTAGGCCTCTTTTTTCCCCAGAGCTCTTTGTTCAGCACATGTTGATCGAGAAGCCCCACATAAGCCAGATGTCTAGCGATAAAGCAGCATGATAGTTAGACCAGGCCCCTCTCATGTTCAGTTCTTTAGTAAAGAGCGAGCATCTCCTCTGTGCCAGGCATGGCTCCCCACATGGGATACAGAGTAAACAAAATTGGCAAAAGTCTTGCTTTCATAGAACTCACTTATAATAACATCACCATCATGTAGGAGGATACAGAGGGGTCATCGATAAGGTGACATTTCTGCGGAGACCTGAAGTGAGCATGTGAGTCAAGCAGATAACTGTTGGAAGAGCATTCTTGGTAGTGCAAAGGCATATGCTTGATGTGTTTGCGGAATGGCTGGAGGGCCAAGGCGATGCTGGTGAGTTGGAGAGTGGTGAGGGGGAGAAAATATAATAGGATATGAATTCGGAGTAGGGTGGAGTTGGGAGGTTGTAGAACTTGTAGTGCCCCGTCGGCCTGACTATGTGAGACAGGAAGCCAGTTGTAGGCAGAGAAGTGTCCTACTGCACTCTCGCTCCTGTGTCTAGTCTAGACTGCGGGGTTCCAGAACGGAAGCAGGGGGATCCTTTTTGCTACAGTCGAAGTGGCAGGGGATGGCAAAAAAAGGGGTCACCGATCCGCAGCTGTAAAACCATAATCATTGCTAGCAGATAGGAGGGTGGAATCAAGAAGGACCGCAAAGATCTCAGCCTGGTAGAATGGAGCTGCTTTTCTAAGACTGAAGACAGTGGAAGGCACCGTTGGGGCGGGGAGATCCAGAGTTCAGTGGGGCGTTCAAGATTCCCATGAGATATCCAAGTGGAAATGTCAGGAGGGCCACCGTGGCTGGAAGATCCCACATGTGGAAAAGGAGTGTGCGGTGAACTTGGTGGAGGGGATAAGACACAGCAGGTGTCAAGCTGAAGCAGCATTCTGCCCAGGATGGGTGTGGGCCAGGCTGTTGGGGAGGAGGTGCACCCCATTCCACTGGGTCCTGCCCTGGCATCAGCCTGGAGAGAGAGTGGGCCTCTTGGCTCCCAGCTGCCCTGGACTGGAAGTCTGGCTTTGTCAGTAGCTTAGTAGTTAAAACGCTGGGCACAGGGGCGCCTGGGTGGCTCAGTTGGTTAAGCAACTGCCTTCGGCTCAGGTCACGATCCTGGAGTCCTGGGATCGAGTCCCGCATTGGGCTCCCTGCTCTGCAGGGAGTCTGCTTCTCCCTCTCACCCTACCCCCTCTTGTGCTCTCTCTCTCTCTCTCTCTGTTTCAAATAAATAAAATAAAATCTTTAAAAAAAAAAACAAAACGCTGGGCACATTTCCTCATCAGCACCATGTGGCTTTCTTAGTTTTTCTTTTTTTTTTTTTGAGATTCTCTCCGAAGCCAGTACTGTTTTTTAATATTCATTATTGGCCATAAGGAATCTTCTCTGTGACTTGCTAACAATACTGCACACCATAGTTGGGCTTTCCAGAGACATCTGTCCTTGTGAAACTTGGGCACAAGAAGACAATTTGTTATTTCAAGAACAGAGAAGAAAGCTTTGCTCCATGTTGATGAGAACTTGCCTGGTTTCTCCCAATGGATGGTCAGAACCGTGCCTGGGGACTTAGGCCGAGACTGGAGTTGGCTAGGGGGTTCGTTTGAGGTGGACTGTAACTGAAGGAAGCGACGAAGTGAAGAGGTGCTCCCCGATTTGGTGCAGGAAGACATCTGCTACTGAGGTGGCCTCAGTGTCTTGACCATCTGCCTTTCCCTCTCTAGGATCTCACCATCCCTGAGTCTAGTACCGTGAAGGGGGTGATGGCTGGACCGATGGCCGCGTTTAAATGGCAGCCGACTGTGAGTGAGGTAACAAGCTCTCCCACAAGCCAGGATAAGCCCAGCCTCCAAGCTGATTTCCTGGCCTGTGTTAGGCGCTTTTCCTTTCCCCATTTTTTAAATTGCAATAAAGTACTGAGGTGTTTGAGGGGGAAAAGTGCAAGTCTCCACCCTCATGGGTGCTCAGTTTCATTCATGTTCGATGTAACTTCTTCCAGACCCTTTGCTACAACCCCCACTCACTCATCATTTATAGAATTATATACCCACTTGGGGTTTCTATTGTTGGGAATAGGGTTGGTTTTCATAAACGCGAGATTGGCCCACACGTTTTTTCACTTAATGCTTTATAGACACCTTTCACTGTTCACATATACAACTCTGCTGTTCAGTAGCCCCTTGGAGTGGATGCCCCAGTCCCCTGTTGAACCTAATTGTGAAAACCCTTGAAAGTCCTGCACTCATTGCCCTACATTTCTGTTTATATCGATCCTCCATGAGACGAGACACTCAAGGGACTGGCACCAGACACAGTAGGTAAAACCCTGAAATTGGGAGAGTACTGAGAATTGGTTTGGCCTCGCCTACTCAGTTATCCAAAAGGACTGGTAAATGCTGCATTTTAAAAATACCAGTATACCTCTTAAATATTTTCTTGCAGTGTTACTAGAATAATTTTTATGCCACCCTGACAGAACTGTCTTTTCTTTTCCACTTTGTGAAAAAGTAGCCAGTTTCCCTCTAGCTGGAGCAGGGACTGTTTATAAAAGGCTTAGACCAACAATGGGAAAGGGCTTCCAGGCAGTTATATAGTCGAGACCAGCTGCCAGGGGTGTTTCAGCCAGAGGAGAGTCAGTTACCAGGCAAGGTGACCTCTGGTGGAAGATAAGTTGTTTTATTGAATCATTTTCTGGTTTCAGCCTGTGAAAGATGCAGACCCTCATTTCCATCATTTCCTGCTCAGCCAAACTGAGAAGGTGAGTCGGTCTTCTACATTTGTGATCCTTGGTCAGGGGCTGGCCTAAAGGGAGAAGGTGGCTCCATGGAACCTCACCCTACTAGTCTGAAAGGTTAGGCTCTGCTTCTACCACTGCCCAGAGCAACTAGATAGAAAGTCACATGGAGGCCCACTCGTGAGTCAGGTGTTGTTACAGTTAAAAGTAAACCCACCCCCACCCCCACCCCCGCCAAAAAAAGCATTTAAGGCTCAGCAGCTGTGTGGTTGAGACATTTGTGAGTCTGGGGCAGAAGCCAGACCTTGTGAGCTATCCACACTCATGAGGTAGCCCTTGCTGTTTGGTGGATGCATTCTCAGGCTTGCTGTGCAAGCAGTCTCTCTAAACCATCGGTTTGTGGAGGGCAAGCTTCCCAGAGTATCTGCAAGGCCATGAGTTAGGCTGAACCTTGATATAGGACCTGATAGGCTGTGGCTTTGGAGTTGGACAGATCTGGGTTGCAAGCCCAGTTACACTGAGTAGCCTTGTAACTCTGAGTGTATGACTTCATGAATCTGATCCTTAATGTCATCATCGGCAAAAGAATCTTGCAGAGTTGCATAGATATTTAAGTGAAGTAGTCTATGCTACCTTTCTGATGTGTCCTTTGGAGTTCAGTAAAGTCGAACAGCAAATAGGTTTCAGTGTTAACACCACACTTTAGGCCTAACCTCTTAGGGAAATTATAACGAAGACCAGTTAAGCGTTCACTTTAATACATGGTCTTTTTTTCTCCTTTATTAGCCAGCTGTCTGTTACCAGGCAATCACAAAGAAGTTGAAAATATGTGAAGAGGTACGTAGGTTCCGTGCCTCCCTATTTTTCTCTTCCACTGGGGCCCTTGGCATGGGCAGACTGACCTGATGAGCTGTGCTTCCTTTCCCTAGGAAACTGGGTCCACCTCCATCCAGGCAGCAGACAGCACGGCCGTGAATGGCAGCATCACACCCACAGACAAAAAGTAGGACCTTTGATGAAAAGGCTTCGTGTGGCTCTAGTTCTGTTAGGGAATAGGGGATGACCCCAAGGGGCTCTTTTTAAGGGTTGTATCCCAGCCATTGGTGGGACTGAATGGAAAGAGAGAGAGAAAGTTATAATTTTTAGTGAGTTGCCTGGAAGTAATTTGACCTGCAGGAGACCAAGGTCCTATAAGTACATGGTCGAGTTGCCTTCATAGCTCACTGGTGAGTCTTCGAGCTGGAGGAACACTCAGTTTGGTGGTTCTCAGACACTCCCCTGCCTCAGAATCACCTGAAAGGCCACATGTAAAGCATCAACTGCTAGGCCCCACCCCCCAGGGTTTCTCAGTCAGTAGATCTGGAGTGGATCCGGAGAGTTTATAATTTTGGACACCTTCCTGGGTGTGCCGCTGCTGCCAGTCAAGACACCACACTTTGAGAACCACTGGCTTGGCAGAACAGTGATGAAAACCCTGAGACTGGCTGTGGTGGGGGCAGGTGGCTGGTGAGAGGTGAATCACCATCGTCCCGCCTTCCCCAGCTCTCCCTGCTGTTGCCGCCCGGTCCTTCCCACACACCTGTCTTGACTATGGTCCCCAAAGCTTAGCTTGCGCCCGCACACCTCTGCCTTTCCTCTGGTGGTTATTTGCAGTCGTGTGTCTATAAGTGCAAAGACAGAGCACTGTCCTGAGCCCGGTGGCCGGGTCTGAATTCTCCATGTGTATCTCCTGTACAGTTCTTTCTCAGAGTAAAAACAGTATGTCTTTTACTTTATTCATAATTTTTTATGCTGATGAAATCCCTGAAGATTCCACCGGTTATTTTGGGTGAACAGCCCTGGGGAGAGTAGAAAAGGCAGAGGCATGTTCTATGCCAATGAAAGGGAAGATGGGCGTCACCCATTGATTTAAGGAGGATTGTGTTGATTTTTTTTAAAAAATGACAAGGATGAGGCTGAGACCAGAGTCCAGTGCTTTCACCTAAGACCTTTGTTGCCTCATTAGTCAAACCGTTTTTTGACATGAATGTGAAGCCAACTACAAAGTGAAGCAGCTGTATGGTGCAGTGCACTAGGTGTCCTGGAACGCCAGGAAAAGAGAATTCGTCTATTGTGATGTAGAGTCGTCGGGCAAGCTTAAACTACCCAGACAGCTGGGAATGACAAAAGATCTCCTGGGTTTTGAGCTTTGGCTGGAAACTTAATGGGGGAGGTTGCCATTTGGTGAGGAATGCAGTGGGTTCTGTTTTTATCATTGGATTCAGGCTGGGACAGAGAGCATGTGAGAGTTCGTATTCCACCAGGGATGAGGGGAGACAGTTTCAGTACAAGAGCCAGTTTGCAGGAGTGGCTGTGAATGTCACCCCAGGAGACTGAGAATCTAAAAGGGTAACTCAGGTGAAGGTGGACAGGCTGCAGAGAGGGTCTGGAGTTGAAAGAAACCCAAGCCAAAACCAGAACACCATGTAGTAAGAAATGATGGAAGAGGCATTGGTTAGCTATATCAATATCATGCAAGGAGTGAAGTGCAGGAACCAAAAAAAGACCTTTGGGCAAGATAAAATCATCTGTAAAAGCACATAGAAATAGCAGTAGTAGCCAATAGCCCCTAAGTTCTCAGCATTGCAGGAAGAAGCAGGCCACAGGAAGTGAAGGTAAGCAGAACATGTTGTCCACCTGAACTCTAGTCCCCCAAGATGAGCATGGGCCTGCGGTTAGAAGGGCAGGCGGGGGAGGCACGGACAGGCCAGCGGAGAGCAGTGCCAGAAAGGTTCAGGAGAAGGCAGGCATAGGAAGAATTCATGTTCTGGAGAATTCCCCTGGCTCCAGGCTTTGAAAAGGGTCAGGGCCCTTCTCTGCTGACAGCAGGAAGAACACAAAGGTAGTGTCGGGTGTCGAGCTGGGGAGGGAGATGAAGACTATGATCCTGAGTCCTACAATTGAAGAAGTTGGCTGGCTCTGAACACATTGCTTCGGTTACTTGTCACGGATTCTGATGTGCTTTAAAGTGGCATCTGAAAGCCTGGTGTTTGGGGTGGCCGACGAGGAAACCGCTGCAAGAGTCAAAGACACGTGCCTGCTTTCTCGCTGTACCGGAATTGGAGGCTCAGACGCTCTGTCAAAGCAGTAAGGGAACAAGTTGGAAGACTTACCCTAAACCAGTGAGGCACACTTCTTTCTGTGGCAGGCAAGGGTTTAGAAAAGCCCACTTAAATTGAGGGACACTTCAAAACGATGGCATAATGAGAAAAGGCATGATGTGCACATGCTGCTGCTGGCTCTGCAGCGGTGCTGTCAGCCGCTGAGTGGACTTGCTGGTGGATGAGCCCCCCCCCCACCAACCCATCGGTATCTCTTTTTCAGGATAGGATTTTTGGGCCTTGGCCTCATGGGAAGTGGCATCGTCTCCAACTTGCTAAAAATGGGTCACACAGTGACTGTCTGGAACCGGACTGCAGAAAAAGTAAGCATTCATGGGGGTGCTTGTCGGGTGGGGTGGGACAGCACCTTGACCCTTGGAGTTGGAGTGGCTTAAGGATAGGAATCTTCCTGTTACCTCCGCCCAGCGTTCTGCATGCATAGAGCAGGAGAAGCCAAGCTCTTAGTTCAGGCAGGTGAAGCTGTAGGTATATGAGCTTAGGATGTTTGGTTTTTGTGTTTTCTTTTTTTAATTATTTAAATTCTTGTTAACGTACGTGGTAAAAATTGGTTTCAGGTGTAGAATTTAGTGATTCATCACTTATATATAACATCCAGTGTTATATAACATATATCATCACAACTGTCCTCCTTAATACCCATCACCCATTTAGTCCATCCCCTGCCCACCTCCTTCCATCAACTCTTAGTTTGTTCTCTACAGTTAAGAATCTCTAAGCTTTAGATGTTATTATAAAAAGTAAACATTTAGGGGCGCCTGGGTGGCTCAGTTGTTGGGCGTCTGCCTTCGGCTCAGGTCACGATCCCAGGGTTCTGGGATCAAGCCCCGCATGGGGCTTCCTGCTCCGCGGGGAGCCTGCTTCTCCCTCTCCCACTCCCCCTGCTTGTATTCCCTCTCTCGCTGTGTCTCTCTCTGTCAAATAAATAAATAAAATCTTAAAAAATAAATAAAAAGCTCACTAGGATGCGCAGTGCAACTGGAACTCTTAAAAATAAATAAAACGTAAACATTTAAAAGCACTTGGGTATAAAATGAAGTGAAAATTCTCCCTTCTCTGCCATTACCTGAGGTAGCTCACATCAGGTGTTTGTATTCTCTTTTTTATGCACATGCAAATATATACGTGTGTATAATAGTAATTCATTGATACTGAGTGCATAGAGATCTGCTTCTTCCTTTTAATGGCTGCACTGTGTTCTGTCATTGGGATTGTATTAACAGCACTGTACAGTAGAGCATTCTACAGTGCTGGAGATGTCCAGTGTCTGCCCTGTCCAGTGTGGTAGCCACTAGCCACATGTGGCTCTTCCAACACTTGAATCATGGCTAGTATGATGGAAGAATTGAATTTATAATTTTATTTCACTTAAATGTAAATAGTCCCCCATGGCTAGTGCCCACCAAAGTGGACAGGACAGGTTTAGAAGTTCTTAACCTAAGGTGGTGGTCCACCACTTCAAGGGTCTGTGCATGCCCTGAAATGGAATTCCAAGTCCGAATGTGCACCTTTTGTAAGGGAGAGAGGCCACGGCTCCTCCTTCGAGTTCCTATCCAAGAAAAGGTGAAGAACGGTAGTCTGAGTACTAAGAAACTAAAGCCCTGTACTCACCAGGAGCACATGAAGAGATTGAGGAAGAACCAGCCTGTTGGGGAGCAGGTGTGGCTGAGCATGTGTTTACAAAGTGATTGAGTGAACACCCGGTGTGCAGCTGGGTGCAGCTGAAAGGAAGATGGTTGCTGAAGGAGGTGGTAGGCCTAATGGGTTTGAATTAACAAATGTCTTGGCAAGGTAAAAAAAAAAAAAAAGAATTCACTATTGAAACAAAGGCCTTTTCGAGAATAACAAGGAACTGGTTGGAGAGTCGGAGAGTCAAGAGGGTTGGGGGGAAAGGGCACTGAAAACTGTGCTAAAAAGTTTGGGCTTCAGCTGCTGGGCATTGGGTACCTAAGGCAGGAGTGAGACCTCTCGTCCCATCAGCAGGATAGGTTGTGATTGAAGGTACGGGTAACCAGGAAATGTAGACACAGACAGTTGCAGAAGCTGGGAGAGTCAGAGGGTTTCCCTTATAAGTACGATCCCCTTTGATAGAAGTGCCTCTGGTCAGCCTGTATCTTGATTGGAAAACCTAAAAGTTATATAAACATGGCCACTCTTTCCAAATTAATTTATGGGAAAGCAGGAGAGCAAAGCATTTACGAATCTCAGTTTGAAATCAGACCTAAATACAAGTCACAGTTGTCTTGCTCACTCTCTCCAGCAAGATTGTTTACCTTTCTAAGCCTCATAGTTCTCATCTGTAAAATGATGACAGCAAAAGCAAAAGATTAGGAGCGCCTGGGCAGCGCATTCAGTTAAGGGTCTGACTCTTGGTTTCAGCTCAGGTCTGATCTCAGGGTCCTGGGATTGACCCCCCACATCGAGCTCCATGCTCAGCGTGGAGTCTGCATTTCGGCTCAGGTCATGATCTCAGGGTCATGAGATCAAGCCCCACATCAGGCTCTGTGCTGGGAATGAAGATTGCTTAAAATTCTCTCTCTCCCTCTGCAGAATCTCCTCCCCCGCTTACATTCACTCTTGCACTCTCTCAAGGGGAAAAAAAAGCCATGTAATTCTTTTACAATCCCTGTGTAATTCTTTTTAAAGGATCTTGATAAAAAATTATTCCCTGGTATAGTAAATGGGAAACATACTTTGACTTTTTCAGAAAAGAAAGAGTAATGAGATCTCTCCCAAGCAAAGTTTAAAACATAAAGCTGTGGGGCGCCTGGGTGGCTCAGTCATTAAGTGTCTGCCTTTGGCTCGGGTCGTGATCCTAGGGTCCTGGGATCGAGCCCCATGTCGGGCTCCCTGCTCCACGGGAGGCCTGCTTCTCCCTCTCCCACTCCCCCTGCTTGTGTTCCCTCTCTCGCTGTGTCTCTCTCTGTCAAATAAATAAAATCTTTAAAAAAAAAAAAACATAAAGCTATATACTAAAAGGCTAAGGTGCGTGTGTACCGTGATAAAGACACACACCCATCAGCTAAACTGGACAGCTAGGACTTCGTCTGATAGAGGTGCCTCGCTGCAAATCAGTGAGAGAGGAGAAAGGTCAGTCAGTAAGTTATATTCAGAACAACTGGATAGAAATTTGAGGAAGTACTAATCTCACTTTGTAACACCTACTAAAATAAATTCCATGTAGATTTAAAGGGACGCCAACTGAAAGTGCTTATAGCAAATATAGGGAAAGGGTAACATACTGATTTTATTAAACATTGTTTCATAAATCCAAAATAAAAAATTGCTCACAAAAGAAACACAAAGGTATTAAATTTAGAAGGTTCAGTAATCAAGAGTAATCAAAATATATCAAACAAACAGTTGCTGTTTTGGGCTGGTTAAATCATCCGTAGGACAAAATTTTTATTTATGGATGCTTGTTTGTTGTTTTTAAAGATTATTTATTTGACATAGAGAACAAGTAGGCAGAGAGGCAGGCAGGGGGAGAGGGAGAGGCAGGCTCCCCGCTGAGCAGGGAGCCCGATGCGGGACTCGATCGCAGGACCCTGGGATCATGACCTCAGCCGAAGGCAGCCGCTTAACCGGCTGAGCCACCCAGGCACCCTGTTTATTGTTTTTAAATGATATACTCAGTGCTGGTGATTTGAGACCTTGCTGATGATCATTATAGATTAACAACTCCATTGGAAAGCCATTTGTCTACATTTATTAAGAACTTTAAAGCTATTTGGAGCCTGTTTTATTCTACTTTCAGAGACCTAAATTGAAAACACAAAGGTATACATGAAAATATTTGTTGGAGTCATTTATAATTAAAAGCAGGCTAGATATCTAACTGCAGGAGAGCCATTAGATAAATTCAGGTATATCTCAATGGAATATTCTGCAGCCATCTATTATAAATGATAATTATGAAAGGCTACAGTATGGACAAATGTAAATGACACACAGTATTAAAAGTTGGATACTGGGGCACCTGGGTGGCCCAGTCAGTTAAGCATCTGCCTTCAGCTCAGGTCATGATCCCAGAGTCCCGGGATCGAATCCCACATCAGGCTCCCTGCTCAGCAGGGAGTCTGCTTCTCCGTCTGCTCTTCACCCGAGTTGTGCTCTCTCTCGTGTGCGCTCGCTCTCTCTCTCAAATAAATGGATAAAATTAAAAAAAAAAAAAAAAGTTGGATACAGGGGCGCCTGGGTGGCTCAGTCGGTTAAGCGTCTGCCTTTGGCTCAGGTCATGTTTCCACGATCCTGGGATTGGGCACCACATCGGGCTCCCTGCTCAGCGGGGAGTCTGCTTCTTCCTCTCCCTCTGCTGTTCCCTCTGCCTGTGCTGTCCTGCTCTTGCTCTGTCAAATAAATAAAATCTTAAAAAAAAAAAATACAAAATAGTAGCTTCACATTATTCTAATTACTTTTTTTAAATGCCTTGGAGAAGGAAATACACTGAAATATTAATGATGTTTTGTTATGAGATGTTCTGGGTAATTTCAATTCTCAAGAAAAGTTCATGCTTTTAGAAACCCCCAGAAACATCTTGGTAAGGAATGGCAGCCTCGGGCGCCTGGGTGGCTCAGTTGGTTAAACGACTGCCTTCGGCTCAGGTCATGATCCCAGAGTCCCGGGATCGAGTCCCACATCAGGCTCCCTGCTCCGTCTGCTCTTCACCCCAGTTGTGCTCTCTCTTGTGTGCGCTCTCTTTTTCTCTCAAATAAATGGATAAAATTAAAAAAAAAAAAAAGTTGGATACAGGAGCACCTGGGTGGCTCAGTTGGTTAAGCGACTGCCTTCGGCTCAGGTCATGATCCTGGAGTCCTGGGATCGAGTCCCGCATCAGGCTCCCTGCTCAGTGGGGAGTCTGCTTCTCCCTCTGACCCTCCCCCCTCTCATGCTCTCTCTCTCTCTCTCTCTCTCTCTCTCTCTCTCTCTCTCTCTCT